CTACGGGGCTACCTGCTGCCTGGCGCACCCGCCGACCTCCGCGAGGAGCTGGGCACGCAGCTGCGCACCTGCACCACGCTGAGCGGGCTGGCCAGCCAGGTGGAGGCCCATCACTCGCTGGTGCTCAGCCACCTCAAGACTCTGCTCTGGAAGAAGATCTCCAACACCAAGTACTCCTGATGGGCAGCGAGGGCCTGGCCACCCTTCCTGGAGCTGGCCGGGCACCAGGGTCCAGCCCGCCCTCAAGGAATCCTGTCAGAAGGTATGAAATGCAACTGTTGCAAAATCACTTTCCTAAGGTTAGGGCTCTGGATTCCAACACCACAGACAGGAGATCCCAGCTCAGAGCAAAGGTGGACATCCTGGCAGGAGGGCCCTCCAAGGGGTTTTGTTACTCTGAAGAATGTGATGTCAATAAACAGCTTTTATGTAATGCCCAGGGCTGAGTACCCTGAGCCCCATCGATGCTGCGCACGGGACCCTGCACCCGCTGTGGATCCAGGCCGTCAGGCTGGGGTGAGCCCCTGAATCCTGGGGAGGCAGCCCTCAGGTGTTAGTACAAGGTGAGGTCTGTTCCAGAGCCCCTGCCTGCCCTTCAACCCACACACACCTCTGAAGCGCCAGGGCAGTTCCCCAAACACAGCGGCTTCTGCAACAGCCAATGACCAGTACCCCTAAACCTGGGCCGTGACACAACAGAACAAAAAGGTGTTCTAGTAACAAAACAGATTTACGCGTTATTTTAAAAACTGATTTTACAAAATCCAGCCATGAGATGTACAACTCATTCCCTAGAAACTTCTTCTCCAGCCCCGTGCACTCTCCCCAGTAGCCCAGGGCACCCAGCAACCGTCCCCCAGGAGAAGATCCCACCACAGCAACACCTTTCTTCAGGCCGGGCTCTGCTCCCAACGTCTGAGTCAAGACAATCCATTCCGTTCAAGGCCAATTTATTCTCAAATTTTGCCAACACAGAAATACTATCCTTGAAGAAGTGTGCATTAAATCTTTTAATTCACTTCATTCTGTATTTCAAAATAAACGTTTTCCATATAGATTTCCCCCTTATAGGGGAAAATTCAGGATCTTAGGTTCCAGGCAGTTCAAAAACAGCCAAGCAACCGGTTTTTTTTTTTTTTTTCCACCAGAATACCACAATGGCAGAACTTAAGAATCGCGATATGAAAATGGAGGGGTGGTCCTGGCAGTGGCCCCTGGCTGGAATACACAGCACTACCCAGGCAGGGGCAGCGAGTGCCCCAATGCCAGCCTGCTCATCCCTGTAATGAAAGCAGAGCAGGAGATGCAGCTGTGGCCCTGGGGGCAGGTGGGCTTGTGGAAAGCTGGGCTCTGAGGCTGCAAACACCCCGAGTGCCAGTGGTCCCAGAGGGGGCAAGGCCTGTATCTGTACCTTTATTCCAGCCAGCCTCCTGCACAGGGCTGGGCCCACATCCTGGCCTCTGCATCTGAAAAACAAACAAGGACAGTGATGCAGACCATCGTTTTTTAACCTGGATTCACCAAATGACCTTCAGAGAACCCAATTTATGAAATCCTGAAACTTTCTTTTTTTCCAAGACAGAGTCCTACTCTGCTACCCAGGCTGGAGTACAGTGGCGTGAACTTGGCTCACTGCAACCTCTGCCTTCCAGGTTCAAGCGATTCTCCTGCCTCAGCCTCCCAAATAGCTGGGATTACAGGCTCACACCACCACACCTGGCTAATTTTTGTATTTTTAGTAGCGACGGGGTTTCAGGCTGGTCTTGAACTCCTGACCTCAGGTGATCCACCTGCCTCGACCTCCCAAAGTGCTGGGATTACAGGCCTGAGCCACCGCACTCAGCCTCCGCAAACTGTATTTTAAAGTTATCTTTCTTGATATGATCTCTTGGCAGAAATTTAACACTGGCACTGCTGACATTTAGAGTCACATCACTCTTCACTGTGGGGCGTCCCAGGCATTGCAGGACGTGTGGCTGTGTCTTTGGCCTCTGTACCCCCATTCCTACCCATTCTGGGGAGAGGATTCCTGTTTCCAAATAGCCTGTTTATCCCAGCTCAACTGCTCTTAGTCAAACTTGCCCAAGGCCTCCCAGACAGACCTGCAGATTCATTTCCAGAACAAGGCCTGGGAGTGAGACGCACACTCCTGGTAACCCCACAAGTGCCCGGAGCTTCAGACACACACGGACCTCATTTATACATATCTACACCTCAGGGTTCCCAGCAATGTTGCTGCCCCTCCCTCATGGAGCAAAGCAGGTAAGGTGTTTTCCAAAGCAAAACCCAAACGCTGCCTGGTTTTGGCTGCAAGTCATGTCATGTCAGGCCATAAACCATTCTCAGTGCCCACTGGTTCCCGGGCACTGAGTGTAGAAATCGCCACTTCCTCTTTGCCCCGAGGTCACAGGCACGGCAGAGCAACTGTCTGGTGCCGACAGGTCCAGGACAGCATCTGCAGGGCAGCCGCTCACACCTACCCGGCAGCAAGGGCAGGCAGGGAGGGAGGGCAAGCTTCCGCCTCACCTCTTACCTTGATCAGGGCTGGTGCAGGTCAGCCTGGTCACCCTGGCCAGTGCTCACACTGGAAGTCCATCACAGGCGAAGTCACCTCCTTCCTGTGTTAAATAACAAAAATGCTTGGCAAAGAATCAAGAACACAATCAAGTGGCTGCCGTTACTGCTATTAACTCAGACACCAGCAAACCCTTCCCCAGTCCTGTCCTGCGTGATCCTGACACGGTGTATGGCGTGACCCAGCGCACACCAGACCTGACCGATCCTCTCACAGGTTCTTAAAACTCACTCCTGAAGGCTGCTCCTGAAGGCACCCTCTACCTTCCCACTATCCCTTCAGACCCCTAGCGGCCAGCCTAGCCCAGAGCAAGGGTTAGAAAGCCCACGCACAAGGCCTGCCCTCTGATACCAGCAAAGGAAAACAGATGCCTGTCCATAAAACAGGAGTGTCAGACTATCAAACATTCAAACGTTCACAGGGCAGAACGCCGAGCGTAGACATAGCCTCTCTAATCTCTGCCACCTAATGACACAGATGTGACACGGCAGCCACAGCTGCAACGCCTCTAGGGGCAGTGTCCTGTAGAAGATGAAATAATCCGTTTTTATTCCCCTGGAGAGACAGCTTCTAGCCACAACGTGAACACAAGACCGACTGGTCCCTCCAGTCACTGAAGATGTCGCACAGCAGGGCTTAGTTACACTGGAGGATTGACCCTGTTCCAGCTCCCACGTACCAACTTACCCAACACCCCAAGCACATGCCGTTTCCAGTGAGCACACGTCCTAGAGAAAAAAGAAACCCCAATTTTGTATAAATCTTGCAAACACCATAGAAGGGCATCACACAAACACTGCATTTTTTGGGAGGCCGAGGCGGGCGGGATCACTTGAGATCAGGAGTTCAAAACCAGCCTGGCCAACATGGTGAAATCCCGTCTCTACTAAAAATACAAAACAAAAAAAAAGTTAGCTGGCCTGGTGGCGGGCGCCTGTAATCCCAGCTACTCGGGAGGCTGAAGCAGGAAAATCGCTTAAACCCAGGAGGCAGACGTGGCAGCGAGCTGAGATCGCGCCACCGCACTCCAGCCTGGTCTACAGAGCGAGACTCTGTCTCAAAAGAGGCCGCGTTCCCGGTCTCCAGGAGGGCGGACCAAAGATGATCCCTGCCACCAAAAAGCTCACTGCCACAAGGGCCATTCTAGAAAAATCCGTCCCAGGTTACTCTCTCCCCTTACTCTCTGGTTAATTTGCGGGAGGGGAAGCTGGAATTACAACACTGTGCCACGGAACGCGGGCTGCTGATCCCCTGCAGGTACCAAGGCACCAGGACCATAAGGCGGAATGCCCGCCAGACAACTGAGCAGTCCTCCTTCGGCCAGCCACAGAGCCACTGTGGCCTCCCGCTGAGCAGCCACAGTGACACGCAAACCACCGGACGCGTGCACACTGCCTAAGAAATCCATTTTTCAAAGATGCGACAAACATCTTCCCACAGCCTCAGCGACTCGGGAAGCAGCAGCAGGAGCGGAAGGGTCGTGGGTGAACGGGGTGCTTTTCTCTAAGATCCGAATTCGCGCACTGAGCTCTCACCAGGATTCTCGAAGCTTCCTGGCTGGAAACCGCGCAGGACCGGGCAGCCCCCTCGCCACCAAGGAACACAGCAGCGGTGCCTCCTCCGCGGCCCGGGCCCCATCCCGCGGCTCACGCGGCCAGGACGCCCCAGGTCAGAGCCCGCCCCCACCCCGCACCCGGAGGCCGGCAGGCGAGTCCCTTAGGCCGCGCAGCGCCCGCGAGAGCAAGAACGCAGGGCGGGGCCCGCGCAGGCGCTCGGGAAAGGGGCGGCAGGAGAATGCAAACATTCGACCCCCCATGGCAGCCGCCGGCGCGCGCAGAGGACGCGAGAGGACGCGCCGCAGCTTTTATAGCGCGGACGGCGGCCCGCAGGAGTCAATCCTCCCCGCCCAAGCAGCGCCCCCCAGCGGTCCCCGGCCGTGCCCCTCCCCGCGCCCGCCGGTGGGCGCTGCTCCGTGGCTGGCGGGTGGGCGCGTGGGTTCGCCACGCAGAGCAGCGGAAGCACCGTGACCCGTGTCCTGCACCGCGACGCCCCACGGGGCCAGCAGCCGGGGCCGCGCCGTCGCCGACCCGCCGGGTGCCGGGCACGCCACGGACACTCGCGGCTCCCCGTTTTCGCGGAGGATTCCCAGGCCAGGTCAGGAGGACGTTCCACGAGCCCGTGGGTCCCAGTGGTCCCAGCCATCCGCGGCTCCCGTAACTGCCGAACAGCGCCCGCCCGGGGCAGCGTGGGTCTACCACGACGCGCGCCGTCCCTTCCCCACCAGGGGCTCTACCGGTGTCGGCCATGGGCGCGGGTACACACCAGGCGCCTAATGAGTGCTGAGGCGGGCGAGGGTCCCGGCCGGCCGGGTAACCCCGGCCAGGCCTGCCCAGCGCCCTGTCTGCGCTGTGTTCTGGGACCTCGGTCACCGCGCAGGGCGGGACACCGAGGCCTCGCGACCAAGCGACTCGCCGCGGTCGCCGGGCTGCGAACGGTGGTGCCAGGACTCGGACCAGGACGCGAACTCCATAGCAGGGGATGACAGGCCAGAGCCGCAGGGGCTAGGAGGAAGGCCGCGCTGCTGTCCTGGGGCTGGGCAGCCTCTGCATTGCTCAGGGCAGACCGCTCTGGCCTTAAGCCTGGAGAGGACATCAGGAGATGAGGCTTCTCGCTCAGCCTGCTCTCTGCAGCCACAGGCAAAGGCCAGGAAGGCCAGGGTGCAGGAGCTGGCATAGGAGCTGGCTGCAGCTCGGGTGCTGGCTTAGAGGGGGCAGGAGCAGTTGATAAATTCAACTCAAATTTTCATTGCCTTTGCAAAGCCAGAAAACACCTCAGGGCTCCTAAGAAAAGCCCCAGCCCAGGACCCCAGGACACCTCGCAACTGGGCTGCAGCTGTGTGGTCTGATGCTCCTCCCTGTGTGGCCCCACCTGGTGTTGGGGCTGGAGCTGGCACCAGAGCAGGCTCCAACTCCGGAGGTGGTGCAGGCTCTGTCCTAGCACTGACAGGGATGTTGGAGACAAACTGGTTCTGCCCCGGGGACTGACGTTCTGGAACTGCCTCTAGCTGTGTTGCTGTTGCTAATCTTTGCCCTGGGAAGAGTGTCAGAGCTGGTGCTAGCTCTGGATATGGTGCTAGAGCTGGTTCTTGATTGGATTTCGCTCTAGAGCTGGCAGGAACTCTGGCTGTCGTTCTGAAGCTGGTGCAGGAGCTGCTGCAGGTCTGAGATGGCTGTAGCTCTAGAGGGCCTCTAATTCTGGTTCTGGTTGTGGAATCAGCCATCGCTTTATGTCTGGTGCCAGCTCTGGCTCTGGAGGTGGTGCTGCAGCTGGCCCTTCCTCTGGACCTGTCACTGGCTTGAGGCCATGCAAATGGTTTTGGAGCTGGTCCTGGCTGGAGGGTGGATGCTGGAGCTGTACTGGAGCCGGCACAGAGGTGCCTAGACCTGCCCCTATCTCTGGGTGTGCTGCTGGAGCTGGCTCTGATCCTGGAACTAGCACCAGAGTTGTAGCTGGCGCTGGCTCTACCTTCTGAGCTGGTGCAGGAGTTGGCTGTAGCTCTGTAGCTAGTGAAAGCTCTAGCTGTGGAGAGAGGGCAAGAGACATCTCCTTCTCCAGAGATACTGAGTTCCCTGCACCCCGACCCAGCACTTGCTCTGTGCTGGGGGGAAGAGCTACCGAGCACTTACTAAAACCGGTATGCGTAGCCCCGGAGCAGGCCACGACCTGCTGAGCCCCAGGAGAGGACCTGAGCCCCACCACCTGAGAGAGGAGCTGCCCCGTGACAGTGGGGTACTTAGAAGGTGGAGATGTCGCATCTCCTGCCCCGGGTCACATGACAGAAGTCAGAGGGTAGGTAGATGGCACTTCTGTGCAGGTCAGCCCGGGCTGGGTGTGGTGGCTCACGCCTATAAGGCCAACACTTTGGGAGGCCAAGGCATGTGGATCACCTGAGGTCAGGAGTTCGTGACCAGCCTGGCCAACATGGGAAAACCCCGTCTCTACTAAAAATGCAAAATCAGCCGGGCATGGTGGCGCATGCCTGTAATCCCAGCTAGCAAAAGGCTGAGGCAGGAGAATCACTTGAACCTGGGAGGCAGAGGTTGCAGTGAGCAGAGATTGTGCCACTGCACTCCAGCCTGGGCAACAGAGTGAGACTCTGTCTCAAAAAAAAAAAAAAAAAAAACAAAAGTGACAGCAACAGACAGCCTGCAGTCCCAGAGCACCCACACTCTCTGTGATGACTCAGAATTTCTTCCAGACTTCACAGATCACCATTCTGGATAAAACAACAAATCAACTAAATGTGGACACCTTCCCCTCCCTGCTCTGGCTGCCTTGTGGACACACAGGTTCACACCAAGGTCATTACCAAGGTCATCACCAAGGGTTTGCATCCCCCGCAAGCTCTCCCCCCCCACCACACCCCTGAGGGTTGGGACGTTCTGGAATTGCTTTGTTGATCCGCGCTGATGGGGAGGGGTTTGAAGGAGGCGTGTGATCATCTTCAGGTCGAGGCCTGGACGAAGCTGGCTCTGAGGCTGGAAGACATTCCTGGAGAAAACGTAGGGGCTCTTGGCCTCTACACGAAGTCCAAACGAAGTGGGCGGTGAAGTGGGCAGTGGGTGTGGGAGTGGGAAGGTGGAGGTGTCACGCCCCTGCCCCTGGTCACGTGATGGAGGTGGAAGGGTGAGTACAAGTCAGAGTACCCAGTGGAGCCCCGCAGGGCTGCTGGCAAGTGCTCCTGGGACTGCAGAGTGTGTGAAACCAGGCACCCCAGGACGTTTTGGCCATGAGCAGGGATCAAGCCCCCATGGGGAAGGGAGAGTGCTGGGGAGGTCTGACCCTGGCAGGGGCAGATCGGGGGAAGCTGACTGTGCAGGGCTGAACAGTGTCCCCAAAATGTCATTCCACCTGAACCTGTAACCCCAGATCGTGTGTGGAATAGGGTGTCTGGGCGCAGCGGCTCACACCTGTAACCCCAGCACTTTGAGAAATCAAGCTGGGAGGATACTTGAGTCCAGGAGTTCGAGACCAGCCCAGGCAACATAGAAAGACCCTGACTCTACAAAAAATAAAAACAAGTTAGCTGGGTGTCGTGCTGCACACTCATCCCAGCTACTCGGGAGGCTGAGGTAGGAGGATCGTTTGAGCCCAGGAGGTCGAGGCCGGAGTGAGCCATGATTGTGCCACGGCCCTCCGGCCTGAGCGACACAGTGAGACCCTATCTCAAAAAAACAAATCCAAAGACAAAATAAGGTCCTAGATCCAATGACTGCTGAGAGGAGGAGGCCGGCCACAGCAGACAAGGCCTCAGGAGAGGGGGACAGTGATGGGGGAGCTACAGCCCCAGCCTCAGAACACCCAGACCTACCAGCACCGCCCACGGCTGGAAGAGACAGGAAAGAGCCTCCTTCAGCGCCCTCGGAGGAGCGTAACCCTGCAACACCTGGGTCTGGACTTCCAAGTCCAGGCCTCTAGAACTGAGAATGAGCTTCTGATGTCCCCAGTTTGCAGTATTGGGGCATGTCAGGACCTCCCACAGCCAGTGGCCGTTCACAGTGCAGGCCTGATCCAGGGCTGCAGACACGCTCGGCCTGACCCCACGGTCCACCTTGCTTTCGTCACCTGGAGGTCGGCCCTTCCTATCCAGTTCTTTGAAACTGTTAGGGCGTTTGTTTAACAGAAAGAAGAAAGATGACCCAGTCACGTGCAGTGAAAAAGCCGTCAGCCCAAACTGGTGACTCTGGGTCTTTAAACACCTTCAAAAAAATAATAATAAAAAAATAAAATAAAAATAAATAAACACCTTCCATGGGGCCACACAGGTGCCCAGTCCCGTGCCGGAACCCTTGGGAATTGCAAACTATGACCAAAATTGTGGGGCTCTGGCAAGAGCCTCAGGCCACTCCCTGCCACTTTTTCATCCCCAACCTGGACCTCGAAGGCCCAGCAGAGTGACCATCGTAACTCCAGGACAGAACTGCACAGGGCCCTCGGGAGGTCGGAGGTGTCCAGGATCGCTGGCCAGCCCCATCGGCCTGGCTGCAGCTGTCTCTGCTGCCAGTGAGCAAGGATGTCCACAGCTGTGGGCTCACCTGGGAGCTCATCGGTAGCAGACACACCTGTGGGCTCCCCCCAATTTTTTTTTTTTTTTTTTTTGAGGCTGAGTCTTGCTCTGTCACCCAGGCTGGAGTGTAGTGGCATGATCTCGGCTCACTATAGTCTCCATCTCCCCGGTTCAAGGGATTCTCCTGCCTCAGGCTCCCAAGTAGCTGAGATTACAGGCATGCACCACCACGCCTGGCTGATTTTTGTATTTTTAGTAAAGAGGAGGTTTCACCATGTTGGCCAGGCTGGTCTCAAATTCCTGACCGCAGGTGATCCACCTACCTGTGCCTCCCTCCCAAAGTGCTGGGATTACAGGCGTGAGCCACCACACCCAGCCTCTCCTGGATACTTGTTCTCATCTTCCTCCAGAGAGAACCCTGGCCGTGCCGCTGCCTCTGAAATGGGGGTCAGGGAAATGGTGGAAGCAGCTGAGGTTGTGGTGTCTCTGAGGCTCACTCCAGGGCCATGGAGTGGACCTAACCCACAGGGCTGTGTGTGATGAAAGGGCGTCATAGACCGCACGGGCTCTGCAGGGGGTGGCGGCTGGCACCCACAGAACCTCAAGCAACTCTGACCCACCAGCTGGCAAGCCGCGGAGGGAGGTGCACTGGTGCGGGTGGTGTGTGCGTGTCTAACCTCGCCTGCTGTCCCTCCCCCCCTGCCCGTGGGACCCCAAGTGGCCCCTCTCCCCATTCTCCCGGCTCCTTCCCTTCTTCCTCCTCCTCCTCCCCACTGACAGGATTGAGTTGTGGAGATGGCAGCTTCCCTGGGCCCAGGGAAGGGAGGGAGCAGAGCTGGAGGCCCCGGAACAGAGCAATTGCCCTCACCCTGGTGAATGGGCGGTTCAGAGGCCCACACTCGGGGTTCTCGAGGCTGGACAGCAGTTTGGGGCTCCCGCTCAGCTCACGTCCTGCCTCTGCAGCTAGCCGGCATGAGGGAGCAGGGATATCGGAGGGGGGCCGGGGGCCTGGGCCCACCTCTCCATGACTATGCCTTGGCCTGGGATTCTGGAAGAGATGGTCACATCTCTGCCACTCTTTAATGTTTATTGAGACCGTGTCTGCTCTGTAACCCAGGCTGGAGTATAGTGGTGTGATCTTGGCTCACTGCAACCTCTGCCTCCTGGGTTCAAGCAATTTTCCTGCCTCAGCCTCCTGAATAGCTGGGATTACAGGCGTGTGCCCCCACGCCTGGCTAATTTTTTTAGTATTTTTAATAGAGAAAGTGTTTCACTGTGTTGGCCAGGATGGTCTTGATCTCTTGACCTTGTGATCTGGCTGCTTTGGCCTCCCAAAGTGCTGGGATTACAAGTGTAAGCCACTGTCCTGGCCTATGTATATATTTTTTGAGAAAAGGCCTCACTCTGTTGCCCAGGCTGGAGTGCAGTGGCGTGATCCTCCCAGGCTCAGGCAATCCTCCCACCTCAGCCTCCTGAGTAGCTGGGACTATAGGCGCCCACCACCACGCTCAGCTAATTTTTGTATTTTTTGTAGAGATGAGGTCTCACCATGTTGCTTGGGCTCCTAACTACTTTTCCGCACACAGGAGAGCTTTATTTCTCATAAGGGATTGCAGCCAGCAAGGCAGCCCTTCTGACAGGCTGGGAAGCGTAGCCTCGGGCCAGAAGCCTGGAACAGACACTTGGAGGGAGGGGCAGAGGGAACAGGAATTTGTGCTGAAGGAGATGGCCAAATACAGATGTTCAACAAGCTTCAGGAGTCATGAATATTCATGAAAGAAGCATGTGTACGTGCAGCTGAGTGAATTCTCCATGGACTGCACAGAACCACTCTTTGAGGGGTCTGACCTCTCACCCCGTCATGGCTGAGGACTCGGGTTCAGGGGTTCAGGGTTTCTTTGGAACCCCCTGGGCCAGAAGAAGGTCCATTCATGGGGGCCAGGCGCGGTGGCTCACGCCTGTAATCCCAGCACTTTGGGAGACTGAGACAGGCGGATCACGAGGTCAGGAGATCGAGACCATCCTGGCTAACACGGTGAAACCCCGACTCTACTAAAAAAATACAAAAAACTAGCCGGGCGACGTGGCAGGCACCTGTAGTCCCAGCTACTCGGGAGGCTGAGGCAGGAGAATGGTGTGAACCCGGGAGGCGGAGCTTGCAGTGAGCTGCGATTCAGCCACTGCACTCCAGCCTGGGCGACAGAGCAAGACTCCGTCTCAAAAAAAAAAAGGAAGGTCCATTCATTCAGCGAGGGGGTTCGTCTCAGACAACCTCCTGTCATCGTATGGAATGAGACCACCACTTCCCCTGTTGTCCTTCCCAGCTTCTCCCCCACCTCCCCTTTTCCCTAGTTTATAAGACAGGAGAAAAGGGAGAAAGCAAAAAGTTGGAAAGAAACGGAAGATAAATAGCCAGATGACCTTGGCGCCACCACCTGGCCCTGGTGGTTAAAATAATAATAATATTAACCCCTGACCAAAACTACTGGTGTTATCTGTAAATTCCAGACATTGTAGGAGAAAGCACTGTAAAACTTCTTGTTCTGTAGGCTGATGTATGTAGCCCCCAGTCACGTTCCTCACGCTTACTTGATCTATTATGACCTTTTCACGTGGACCCCTTAGAGTTGTAAGCCCTTAAAAGGGCTAGGAATTTCTTTCTCGAGGAGCTCGGCTCTTAAGACGTGAGTCTGCCTACGCTCCTGGCCGAATAAAAAACCTCTTCCTTATTTAATCCGGTGTCTGAGGAGTTTTGTCTGCGGCTCGTCCTGCTACAATCACCCCTTGAATGAGACCCAAGCCCTTCACTGTGGCCTTCAAGGTGCCGTGGTCCGGTGGGCCCCCTCCTGCTCCTCTGCGTGGCTCTCCCCACCGCCGTTCTCATACTGGCATGCCCAATCTCCTTGAGAAGCCATTTTCTCTACTCTGATGTCTTTTCAGAAGTCATATCCTGTTCTAGGGATGCACCCCTGCTCCTCTAGCCCCACTGAAACTGAGTTAATACCCACCACCCTTCCCTAGTCAACCCAAATGCCACCTCCCCCAGGAAGCTCTCCCTGATGCTGCCCTGGATGGAATGAGTCAGACCTGCTGTTGTTGGGCCCTGGCTGCCCCTAGATAGACTTCTAGGGTCTATACTCGAGTATCCGGATGATCTAGGGTCTATACTCGAGTATCCGGGTGATCACGCTGCTGAGGTTGGCGTCTCCTGATCGGGCATTAACTCTGGGAATGCGTTTGCCGATTCTGCTCCCTAATGCAGCCACAGGGGCAGCACGCTCCCTGGCACGTCCTAGGGGCTCTTCTATGTTGGGTGCAAACGGCTTCCTGGGAAAGTGCAGGATGCCAAGGAACACAGAGGGTGGCGGCGGCATGGAGGGCAGAGGGAAGGCACATGGCGAGGACTACGTTGGGTCAGCCTATGGTCTATTTCACGGAAGACAGGGAACAGCAGCGGCCTGCAGTGTGCTCCAGAGGACACTGCGGAAGGGGCCTGACTGACATCTCGCCACCCGGTCAGCCTGTACCCTTCTTCCTCATTCTTTCTGTGATCATAAAGGATCCCTTGAAACACTTGAGTTTCACACTGTCAACGACCTAGAGCCACCAAACACCTCTCAACAAGCCGTGGTCTCCACCTGACATCTGGAACAATGCTCCCCGGGTCTGGGAGGACCACACCTCGAAAGGAAAGAGCAGAGGACGCTGGCTCTCATGGCAGGATGGTGTGTGCACAGGAAGCTGTGGGAGAGGAACACGACCATGCGTGGGTTGGCTGCTCGGAGGAGAAACATGAGCCGTGAACACGTCTGCCCCAGCCGCCCCCTGGTTCCACGCGTGCTCGTCTTGGCCACCACGAGAACACAGCCATGCAGCCCCCAATCCTGTAGCCACAGCTGTGGCACTGCCTGGTCAGATGCAGCATCTGCTCCGGGCACCTCTCGCTGTCGGTGCAAGGCCTGCCAGGCCAAGCCCCGATTCTCAGGGGTGTCAGGAGGCGGGGCAGGAGGCATATTTGGGCAGATCTTTAAAATGGCACCTTTCGGCCGGGTGCGGTGGCTCAAGCCTGTAATCCCAGCACTTTGGGAGGCCAAGATGGGCAGATCACGAGGTCAGGAGATCGAGATCATCCTGACTAACACGGTGAAACCCCGTCTCTACTAAAAAAATACAAAAAACTAGCCGGGCGTGGTGGCAGGTGCCTGTAGTCCCAGCTACTCGGGAGGCTGAGGCAGGAGAATGGCGTGAACCCGGGAGGCGGAGCTTGCAGTGAACTGAGATCCGGCCACTGCACTCCAGCCTGGGCGACAGAGCCAGACTCCGTCTCAAAAAAAAAAAAAAAAAATGGCACCTTTCAGATGGCTCCTTTTGTTTCTCCTTCCCTCAATGAATCAGCTCCCCGTTGGGTGGGACGGGCAGGTGAGGCCAGGAGGGCAAAAGGCTGAGGGCACAGTTTACCGTCTTTTGGGAGGATGACGGCGGCCTTGGAGAGCCCCAGAATGTCACACGTGTCCATGAATTCCTTCAGACTCTGGAAGCTCGAAACGTTCTGTCTATCTGAGGTTGAGATCAGGATCGCATCAGAGGCTCCAGCTCCAGCCATTTTAGCATCTGCACCCTGGCCCCCATCGCCACCCTGGGAGCTGCTGAAATGTCCTCAGAGCTTAGGTGTGAAGCAACGATCGGCCACAGGAGGACAGCGGCCGCTGGGTCCCTCCCCACTTACGAGGCAGCTAGGCACGGGAAGCCAGGGTCACCACGCTGTTGCCTGGGGAGCCCTCTCTGCTTGCAGAATCCCCACCAGCCATCCCCCAGCTGTGCCCCGCCTTGCTGCACCCTGAGTGTGCCCCGCCTCGACTGAGACCCCAGGACCCCACCTCCCCTCGACCCCTTCAAACCAGGAGGGCCACTCCTTTCCCTGTACCCCCAGTGGTTGGTGCCTAGAATTGGGTTTGTGGCCTTTAGCCCACACCAGGTCACTTCCACACCCCTCCATTCCGGGCAGACTCCTACCTGGGACCCCTCTGGCACCTCCTCATCCCCATTGCATCCCTCACGCAGAACGTTGCACCTGTACCTGCCACCATCATGGTGGCCTCCACGCCACCTGGATGGCCCACCCTGCTCTGCAGCCTCTTCCTGACGTTCCCCATCCTTGCTTCAGCGACCTCCAGGACCTGCCTGCTGTGGTCTCGGCTTCCACTGCCCCTGCCCTGACCACCGCCCCAACCCCCACTCTCTCTGCCCACCTCACTCCCGGGTCCTGCCCGGCCCCGTGTGCCCAGCACCCCTCTATGCCTCTCTCTGCACTCCCTCCACCATCCTTTGCCATCCACTGTGCCCGCTCACGGAAAAGCAGCAGATTCTTGTAGTTTTGGGCTGCGCGCCCCAGGCGGAGGTAGACCAGGCCGTAGCTGTAGTCAGTGGACAGCACCTGGAAGGCCTTCACCCCTTTCACTGAAAGAGACACCCAGAGATGCCCGCTGGTTCCCGGATGGCGTGGCTGTGCCCACCCAGAGCCCTGACCCCTGGTGTCTGAGGCCTCGGAGCCCCCAGACGGGTGCAGTGTCCAGAAAGGACTGAGTGCCCTCCTGGCGCCTCCCCTCCCGGGCCAGGCCTGCTCAAGGCACAGAGGGGACAGAGGCGTCCCACGCAGCTCCTCCGGGGCTCAGAGCCCAAGCACACCGCCCTCCCGTCCTTCCCTCAGGCCCACCGCGTACGCACGGGTGTTCCTGAACACCGGCTTCTTCCCGTCTTTCCTCAGGATCACCTCCTGGGACTGGCACCCCTTCAACCTGGGGCAAGGCAGGGGCTCAGGCTGCAGACCAGGGAACCCCTCCCCGCCCCACGCCGGCCACCGAATCCCACCGACACATCTCGGTCCCGCCCCTGCTCCTGTGGGACCTGGGAAGGTTGGGGCACCAGGTCCCCAGTTTTTTGCTTCACTAACTCTTGTCAATTTGAGGCTCCGTGGTGTGAGGATTTTCCAATTCGGACCGGGGCCTGTCCCATGGCCCAGGAGAAACCCCCAACTCCCACCTGTGTGGGGGCCCAGGGGCTGCAGGCGGCTTCCTCCGAGTTTAGGGGGAGGAAGTTGGGGGACAGTCCTTGTGGAACTTCCAGACAGACAGGCTCCTCCCAGACTCCTTTCCAGCCCCCAGGCAGCTCCCTCCCCCTGGAAGAGGAGACCCTTGCCTGGGGGGCGCTGCCCACTCACCGGCTGAAGGCAAGGAGCACGCGGAGCTGGCCTACTTTGTTCACCTTTATCACGGACGCTCCCAGCTTCCTCTTGTCCCTGGCCGGCAAGAATCCCTGGGCATCAGTGGCCACGGCCAGAATGTACCAGAACCCTGAAAACTGCACAGCAGGTGTGTGGGCGGGGACAGGAGCTGCCACCCAGGGGCTGTCCCCACCCCTGAGGTTCCCAGCTAGAGAACCCAGGAGACAAGCAACCCTTCTGTGAACCGGAGATCCAGCCCCACCCGGGTGCCGCCTCGGTCCCGGCCACTCTAGCCCTGGCCACTGGAGCTGGGCCGCAGAGAACCAGGTGCCCAGAAGGTCAGGGACCCCAGGTAGCACAGGACTGGGCCGTGGCACCAGCAGGTGGAAGGCCTCCCTACCTCAGAGGCCCCGGCTCCTTTCCACGTGGCCTCCTAGGGGCTGGGTACTGCTTGGCCACTTCCCTTCCCGCCGGCCCTCGGCCCCCAACTCTGCCTGCTGCCAACCCCAGCGCCCTGGGCACCACCGTGCCAATGAGTGCTGCTCCCACGGCTCACTCTGCAGGTGCCCGGGCCCTCCCGCTACAGAACATGCCCCGCTTGCTCCACACCCACTCTGCCCTCTCGGTGTCTTTCAACCTCCTCGGCCACAGCTCCCTGGGCCCCTCCACCCTGACCCTCCCTGATCCCCCCGACTCCCCTGAACCCCTCGAGGCTCCCTGCCTCTGCCCTGCAGCTTGCGGGCCCCTGTGCTGGAGGCTGCAGTGGGAGAAGCCAGGTGGGCATCGCCCGTGCCTGGAACTCCTGGTAGCCCTGCTCCGGGGCGGCTGCCGGGAGACTCTGCAGGAGCCTCCTCCAGCTCCAGGGCCGGTGCCCGGCTCAGGGACCAGCGGCGCATGGCTCACCTTGTTCCAGTTGAGGGTGTGGGACTCCCTGGGGTACCAGTCCTGCACCTGGGACCCTGCAGCCAGCACCAGCACCAGCACCAGCACCAGCAGCCCCTGCCTCATCCTCCTCCTCCTCCCTCAGCCGCCAAGGCCAGTGTTTAAACCTCCCTGGAGCCACCAGCCTGGGTCGGGAGGGGAGGGAGGGGAGGGAGGCAGCAGGTGTGGCCTTGGGCTCTGCTACCCTCTCCCCGCCCAGGGACCACCCCCAAACACTCAGACACAGCCAACACAGCCCCGCCCCGTGGTCATTGCTGGCCTGGGCTGCCCCGGCAGACAGAGGCCGCTCTGAGGCCCCAGGACCCTCCTGCCCTCAGTGCCCTGCCTGGGGTCACTGTGTGTGCCCGAGACTCATTAAGCCCTGGCCCTCATCCCAGGCCTCCAGGTGACAGGCAAAGGGCTGGTCGTAGCCGTTCTGGGGCATATGTGGGCGTGGGGAGCACCATGTGGCCGCCACATACACTGCCCCCGCCACCTTCTTGAGGGCACCACAGCACCTGAGCAGGCACCGAAGGGTGGGCCGGGGCTGTGTGCCCGCGCCCGTGTGTGTGTGTGTGCGCATGTGTGGGTACGTGCTCACATGTGCACACGTGTGCATGCCTAGCCTTGCAGGTCAAGGCATCTATGTGCGCTTCACCTCACTCCAGCATGAGCCTCGAACAGTCCCAAGCCCCGCATCCAGCCCCGAGGCCCCCACGGCCTGTGCTTCTCCCAGGACGGCAGGCAGCCCCCCACGCCCATCAGAACACAGGAGGACCTGCAGGCTCGGGCATCTGGGGTCCCCGCCCCTGCCTAGGCAAGAGCCACAACTCCAGCCCAGAGAAGCCTGAGCCTGGGGGGTCAGGGGCCCCTCTGAGCCCCACCAGCCTCCACGCTCTTGTCCTAGGCAATCTGTGGAGCCTGTGGCACCCCAGCCGTGGTCCTGGTGGACGTCATTGCTGGCTTCCTCCCAGGCTGTGTCCCCTGACCAGCCCCCACCTCCAAGGCGGGGCCTGAATTGGGGTGTCTGAAGACCCAGAGGGGCTCTGGCAAGGGACTGGGTCGGGCACGCGTCTTCTGTGCAGCTGGCTCTATGGTTCTGTGGCCCTTGGTGACGACCCCTGCCATCCTCCCCGCAATTCCCCGGCTGGCCCCCAGTCAAGAGCACCCCTGGTTTGCTGTGGAATTGCTTTATTCTGAGCTGGAGCTGAGCCCTGGGAGCCGCTGAGCGAAATGGGCGGACCCTGGCCGGGTCACAGGACCCTGCAGGCGCTGTCCCTACTAGGGACGCAGCATTCACTGAAAACCAAGACAAGTGTGAGGGGCCCAGCCCACCACGGAGACGCCCTCCACACCCTCAGCCATCCTAGAGGCAGTGGAGCCACGAACCCGTGGGCTTGGGCAGAGGGTCCTCCCGCCCACTGTGCGTACGGTGGCCTCCCCCACCCCAATCCCCAGGGGAGTCCAGGGTGAGGCTCAGGACGGCGGCTTACCGGGAGGATCTTGTGAGCACAGGTGACTAGAAGAGGAGGCAAGACTGGCTGTGAAAAAGGACTGAGCCCCCCTGGCCCCGCCCACAGGACTCGTCTGCTGTGGGGACCAGCCCCCAGGCCTGACTGTGGGCAGGGGCAGGTGAGGACCCCCTCAGCCTGCCTGACTCCCTGAGGGTGACTGAGTCAGGCAGAAGCCAGAATCAGCCCCAGGGTCTGTGCCACCCCATCATGCCCTGTGGGCACCAGAACTTGCCCCAAGCCTCCCCTGTGGCTGCTCCGGTGGACACTCACGGTCCTTCTGCAGCTGGGCCTGCTGCTGGGACAGGAAGCCCAGGCCCCTGCTCCACTTGGTGAAGAGTCCCATGGCCTCCTGGCTGGCTGCCTCCGTCCGACCTGGGGGCACCAGGGCAGTGCAGGGGGAAGCAACCTCTGAGAGCCGGGGAGGGGCCAGGGAGGGGATGGGGCGGGGCAAGGGAGGAGCTGGGGCGGGGCCAGGGAGGAGCTGGGGAGGAGCCAGGGGGCTGGGGCGGGGACAGGGAGGAGCAGGGGCAGGGACAGGGAGGAGCCGGGGCGGGGACAGGGAGGAGCCGGGGAGGGGCCAGGGAGGGGCTGGGGTCAGGGAGGAGACCACCTGCCCTGGGATGCTGGCCCCGGCCCTTCCAAGGCCACCTCCAGTGCAGCGAGCCTCAAGGTGGGGGAACTTGGCCTGCATGAGGCCCCGAGTGGCCCACCCACCACACAGCTCCCCGCGTGGCCCCCGCACGGCGTACTCACTGTATAGCTCCACGGTGTTGAAGGGCTCGTCCCCAAACTCCAGCTGAGTGAAGATGATGGCATAGTCTCTGAAGTTGGTGGCCAGCACCTGGAGCTCCAGCACGCCTATTGCTGGGAAACAAAACCCCCGCCGTGGGGGAGGGCAGCTGCTGTATCCATCCAGGGGCTGCTGGGCTGGTGCTTGGCCACAGGGACGGAGGGTCCAATTCAAGTGAGAGCTCCCAATCCCAGGAGACCCCTCGAAACACACCCAGAGCCCTCAAGCTTTGTCCCCCGACCCCGACCCCACCTGGTGCCAGCATCAAGGGGCTTTCAGAGACTGATGGACAGACAGACAGACAGACGAGCACTGCCCCAGCCTGTCCCGGGTGTGAACGAGGAGTGGCTGTGTCACACTGGCCCAGCGCTGTCCCTATGGACAGCCACTGGACAGGCCCCTTGCCCTCTGCACCTACGGGGACCTTGACTGGACTCCACTGGCATCTGAGCCTGCTGGGAGCAAGGTTCCAGTCCTCTGTCCAGGGGCCTCTCTTCACCCTCAGGATGGGCACCAATCCTAAGACCAGAACCTGTAGCCTGGCATTCAGGAGTGGAGTCCGTCCCTGGCCGCAGGGAAGAACGGCCTGGGTGAGGCCGTGGTGGTCAGACTCACAGGGATTCTCAAACACCCATCCGGAGTTTCGCTTCAACAGCTCCATGACACTCTGGCTGCACCCCTGCAGCCTGGAAAAGAAGAGGCCCATCACCCACTCAGGGTCAAGACCCCGGGGCCCGGTGAGAGGAGACGGAGCTCAGGAGTCGAGTCCAGGCCAGGCCAGCCGGCAGCAAGGCCAGAGCTTCCATCTTCTGCCAGATGCCCCGATGCCTGGAAACCTGCTCTCAGAGAGTGGATGGCGTGGGAGTCCTGAGAGGGGCGGACACTGCTATTCACCTCCTGAGAGATCCTCAGTGCCAGATCTCCACCAGGAACGCTGAATGCTGCTGAGGACGCAACAGGAGACTCAACAGACGGGAGGTTCACCCACAACTCAGGGGAAGAGGCCGGCACTCCCTAAGTGGTCAGTCTCCAGAGTGAGCAAAACCCAGCAAAGGTGCAGTGGCATTTGCCAACAAAGGAAGCTGAGGCTGAAGTCCATGCGGGAGAAACAGCAAGAAGAACTAGGAAAGCCACGTGTGAGGTGCCACCTCAGCCTGGAGCCCCTTGGTCCCAGCTCACCCTGAGGCCAGGCCTGGCCTGGGGGGTGCAGCAGGGCCCCTGCCCATAGCCTCCAGGCACAGGTGCAGGGGGAGGGCACGCTGGGTAGGAGGGCAGGTTCTCCTCTCTGGGCCCTGTGTCTGGCTCAGTGGTTCAGGCCTGGGCTCTGCCACCAGCTTGCCGGGGTAGACGCCCACCACGCCACCCAGCAGGTCACTCTTCTGCGAAGGGAGGCAGGCACTGACTCCTGCCCCAGCATGGCTACCCCTGCAGCCTGGCTGCCCTGTAGGTGTCCCCTGCATAGCACGACCTCGGGAGCCGGCCCCTCCTTTAAGGCTACACAGCTTCTGGGTCCCCCAGGGCCAGCCCAGACCAGCATGGGCAGTGGGGGATGAGTTGGGCCAGCCCTTGGGGGGGTCCCAAAGGCAGGAGCCTCAGGGCAGGAGGGGTGGATGCTGGAGGGTTGGAGGCTGGAGGGCTGGAGGGTTGGAGGCTGGAAGGTTGGAGAATTGGAGGCTGGACACCCATCCCTGCACACTGCCACCAGCCATGCGTGTGGTCAGGTGCACCGGCCTGAGGCCACAAGGCCAGTCTGGCCGACAGCCTGCATGACCATATTGTTTGGGGATTTATATTATAAAAGAACCAGTGGTTCTTAGGCCCAAATGCATTACCCTCCTTTAAACAGAATTCCCGGAAAAGCCTGCCGAGAGGACCGGCTTCCCCAGCTCTGACCCCAGCCTGCAGCCAGATGGCCCAGGACAGGAATGCATCAAGGAGCGTGGTCAGAGCGGTGCCCGGCCGCAGTATTGAAGGTGGGAGTCCCACCTGGAGGCCCCAGGGACACAGCTGTGAGGAGCTGGGCAGAGGGCTGGTGTCTCTGAGCAGAGCCCAGCGGGAAAAGTGAGGGGAGAGCAGAGGGGCCGTGGGAACCCCCAGGCCGTGGTGCCCGGGAGCAGATGTGCAAAGGACATGATGTGCCTGAGCCACAGGCCTGCCTGCGGGAAGGCCTGGCAGGACCCACCCCACTCACCCGTGCTGAGAGGACAGCAGTCGAAGGTTGTTTTCTGGAGTGAGGGTCACCACCACCCCCGCGATGTTCTTCATGTCCTTCTCCACTGCAAAGCTCTTTTCCCGGGAGGCCACCGCAAGCACGTACCAGCGCCCAAGAAGCTGCATTGAGGCCGCTCCTGTGAGGGCCGCCAGCCCTCCAGCCTCCAGCCTCCAGCCTTCCAGCCTCCAGCCTTCCAGCCCTGCAGCCTCCAGCCTCCACCCTCCAACCGTCGAGCCCTCCAGCCTCCAGCCTCCAACCCTCCCACCCTCCAGCCCTCCAGCCTTCCACTCCTCTAGCCTGCAGCCTCTACCCTCCAGCCTCCAGCTCTCCAGCCTCCAGTTCTACAGCCCCCCAGCCTTCCACCCTTCTAGTCTCCAGCCTCAGCCTCCAGCCTCCAACCCTCCAGCCTCAAGCCTTCCAGCCCTGCAGCCTCCAGCCTCCACCCTCCAATCCTCCCACCCTCCAGCCTCCAACTTTCCAGCTTTGCAGCCTCTAGCCTTCAGCCCTCCAGCCTTCCACCCCTCTAGCCTCCAACCTCTAGCTCTCCAGCCTCCAGCTCTCCAGCTCTGCAACCTCCAGTCTTCAGCCTCCAATTCTCCAGCCCTCCAGCCTCCAATCCTCCAGCCCTCCAGCTTCCAACCCTCCAGCATCCACCCCTCCTGCCTTGAGGCTCCTGCCTTTGGGACCCCCAAAGGCTGGCCCAACTCATTCCCCACTGCCCATGCTGGTCTGGGCTGGCCCTGGGGGACCCAGAAGCTGTGTGGCCTTAAAGGAGGGGCCGGCCCCTGAGGACCAGCTTTCTCCACCCCCAGGAGGACTGTACCTGCTTAGGGTCCAGTCTTCCCAACCACACGGCCTGGGCCCTGGGCACTGAGACCAAAGCCAGAAGAGCAGCCAGCAGTAGGCCCCCCATCCTCCCAGGTCCACACCACGCCTCAGGCCCGAGATGTGCAGTCCCTCCAGGCCCCAGAGACCCATTTATACGGCTCTGAATTTCTCCGTGTGGGCGGCACTAACTGCCAGGAACCCTCCTGGCCTCCTGCAAAATTACCCAGGGGGGCGCTGAGCAGTGGCAGCCTCTGAGCCCAGATCAGACAGCTGCACAGCAGGGAGAGGGTCTGGAGTGTGTGCATCCACCACAGTGTACTGATCTCTGCTTCCTTCCACCAGAAGGTTCCAGAATGGGCATCCTAAGGCCAGCTGCATCACCTCCCCGCTTCCTGGGGACCCACGCTCTCCTTCACCCAGTTTGGGAAGCAGGGACCCTGCTGTCCGCTGCCAGGCCCGGCGGGAGGCCAGGGTCAAGCCCTAGGAGAGGTACAAGCAGGGTAAGAACAAGCGGTTCTTAGGAACTGCGGTTTTGGATATCTTTTGTTTCGATCATTAAATATAAAAAGTCCCTGAAAGCCTTTTGATAAAAGCTCCCACCCGCTCCCTGCCCACACACCATTCTGCTTTGTGGCCTGGCCTCCTGTCCCCCACAGCCAGCACCCCCAGGCCAGACTGTCCTGTTCCTTTCACCCCTGCACCCCACCCTCCGGCCCTGCTGCCTCCTGCCTCCCCTCCCTGGGACCCTGGCCTGCTTGTGCCTCCCAAGGCCCCTTGACAGCTCTCTGCAGCCCCTGGCCAGGAGCAGAGGACAGAGGTGCTCGTCAGGGTCTATCTGAGCCCCTGAAGCCCACTGGGAGGCAGCCGGGAGGGTCCTCCCCCAGTGCCGTGGCCTGAACCCTCTGGGATTCACTCCCACACACCTTCACTCATTCGTCAACAAGGGTGCAAGGAGCATGTCCATGCAACAAGGCTGCAGTGCCCAGGGCCGCCTGCGCTCACAGAGCTTACACTGCAGCCCTGGCCGCCTGCCCTGTACCCACGCAGCAGGGCCTGTGACCACCAGAGTGCAGGAAGAAAGCAGAAACCACGCAGCTACTGGGGGCCGAGCCTGTGAAGACTGACCAGGCAGTGGGGCCATGGAAGTGCCAGCCAAAGCCATGGCAAGCAGGAGTTGCCCAGGGGCTGAGCCACGGAACAAGGGGGTGGGACACTTAGGCCTGGAGCCTTCAGGAGGGAGCCATGGCCAGGCGCGGTGGCTCACACCTATAATCCCAGCACTTTGGGAGGCTGAGGTGGGAGGATCACTTGAGTCTAGGAGTTCAAGACCAGCCCGGGCAACATAGCGAGACCTCATCTCTACAAACAAATTTAAAAATTAGCTGGACGTGGTAGCGTGCTCCTGTGGTCCCAGCTACTCGGAGGCTGAGGTGGAAGGATCACTTGAGCCCAGGAGGTTGAGGCTGCAGTGAGCTGTGATCGTGCCACTCCACTCCAGCCTGGGCAACACAGCAAGACCCCATCTGTAAAATAAAAATACAAAAAGGAGGAAGTCAAGCAGCTGGGCCAGGCCTCTGACAAGGAAACACCCGCTAGCCCCACAGTGTCCCTCAGGGCTGTGGGAGGCTGGTTTTCAAGGTAGCCACAAAACAGCACACAGCATCAGTCGGGCACGGTGGCTCATGCCTATAATCCCAACACTTTCAGAGGCCGAGGCCGGCAGATCACCTGGGGTCAGGAGTTCGAGACCAGCCTGGCCAACATAGTGAAACTCTGTCTCTACTAAAATTACAAAAATTAACCAGGTGTGGTGGCACATGCCTGTAATCCCAGCTACTCAGGAGGCTGAGGCAGGAGAATCGCTTGAACCTGGGAGGCGGAGGTTGCAGTGAGCCAAGATTGCGCCACTGCACTCCAGCCTGGGCGACAGAGCGAGTAAGACTCTGTCTCAAAAAACAACAAACAAACAAAAACAAAAAGCACAGGATAAACCTCAGAGTCTAATGAGACAAGTTCCCTGCCAAGGCTGGGAGCTGGAACAGAGTGGGGGGAGGAATTTAGACTTTTTTGAGTAAACCTTTTTGTATAGTTTTGACTTTGGAATCAAAGTAATTTGGTATACTATACCGTTATACTCAAAAGTAAAATAAACAAATTCCAAACATGGGATACAGTAGTATTATAGATAAATGACAGCCACACTAAAGGGGAAAAGACTGCCCCCCAGTAACTTCTGAGCAGTAGTTTTTCTCTGTATTCTCAGGCTAATGGCAGAAGGAGCTACAAACACACCCTAAGCTCTTGTCAGCAGGTTCGTGGTTCACGGTGGTTTGGACGAGCAATTCTGTTTTGTTCTGTTTTGTTTTGTTTTGAGATGCGGGTCTTACTCCGTCATCTAGGCTGGAGTACAGTGGTGCAATCTCGGCTCACTGCAACCTTCACCTCCCCGGTTCAAGTGATTCTTCTGCTTCAACCTCCTGAGAGCTGGGATTACAGACGCGCCATCACGCCCAGCTAATTTTTGTATTTTTAGTGGAGACGGGGTTTCACCATGTTGGTCAGGCTGGTCTCGAACTCCTGACCTCGGGATCTGCCTGCCTCGGCCCCCCCAAATGCTGGGATTACAAGTGTGAACCACCACGCCCGGCCTGGGTGAGCAATTCTGATACACTTTCCATGTGCTCTAGAAGGGACCTAATGAGTAAATATATTAAGGATAATGGGTTTCTCTGTGTTGGAAAAAAGAATTATAAATACAGACATATAGAAAGGGAAGAGATCAAAATGAAACCTGTGGTGTGGGATTGGAATTAGAAGTTTGTATGTGAACTCCCATTTTGGAGTTGGAGAGGGAAGGAGGGGAGGAAAGAAGGAGGGAAAGGAAGGAGGGAGGGGAGGAAGGAGGGAGAGAGGGAGGCAGGGGAGGGGAAGAAGAGGGAGGGAGGGAGAGGAGGAAAGGAAGTCTAGGCTGGTCTTGAACTCCTGACATCAAGTGATCTGTCCACCTCGCCTCCCAAGGTGCTGAGTTTCCAGGTGTGAGCCACTGTGCCCAGCCCTGAGTGGTCACCACTTTCTAAGAGCAAAGTGTCAGCCGAGAGGATGGGCACACAGCTTAGGCGAGGGGGGCCGGTGGGCCGCATGTGGGCGCTCACGCCTGGAATCCCAGCACCTTGGGAGTCTCACTTGAACCCCGGATTTGCAGACCAGCCTGGGCTACAAAAGGAGGCCCCACCTCTAGGAGAAATTTTAAAATTATCTGGGCATGGTGGTATGTGCCTGTGGTCCCAGCTACTCAACGGGCTGAAGTGGGAGGATCGCCTAAGCCCAGGAGCTCAAGGCCGCAGTGAGCTATGATTGCGCCACTGTGCTCCAACATCCGCTATAGAGTGAGACCCTGTCTCAAAAAAAAAAAAAGAGAGAGAGAGAGAGAGAGAGAGAGAGAGAGAGAGAGAGAGTTGAATAAGCACACAACTTGATCATTTTTTCAGCCATGAAGAAAGTGTAAGTAAGCATCTTAAACTAGTAATATGCCAACCTTCTCTGGCCACAGTACAAGAAAATTGGAACATTTTATCTTATCTTTTCTTTTCTTTTTGTTTTTTTGAGATAGTGCCTCCCTTTATCGCCCAGGCTGGAGTGCAGTGGCGCAATCTTGGCTCACTGCAACCTCTGCCTCCTGGGTTCAAGCGATTCTCCTGCCTCAGCCTCCGAGTGGTTGGGATTACAACTACTCACCACCACACCTGGCTAATTTTTGTGTTTTTAGTAGAGATGGGTTTTCACCATGTCGGCCAGGCTGGTCTCGAACTCCTGACCTCAGGTGATCCACCCACCTCAGTCTCCAAAGTGCTGGGATGATTACAGGCGTGAGCCACTGCGCCCAGCCTGGAACATTTTGAACATATTTTAAAAAATACTTCCAGATGAAAAGAAAAATACAAACTGAAATTACAGAATTTCATTAATATAAATATAACAAAAACACTATGTAAAACAGGAATCATAGGAAAAATACCTTAAACCTTTTTTTTTTTTTCCTTTTTTTTTTTTTTTGAGATGGAGTCTCGCTCTGCTGCCCAGGCTGGAGTGCAGTGGCCGGATCTCAGCTCACTGCAAGCTCTGCCTCCCGGGTTCACACCATTCTCCTGCCTCAGCCTCCCGAGTAGCTGGGACTACAGGCGCCCGCCACCTCGCCCAGCTAGTTTTTTGTATTTTTTAGTAGAGACGGGGTTTCACCGTGTCAGCCAGGATGGTCTCGATCTCCCGACCTTGTGATCTGCCTGTCTCGGCCTCCCAAAGTGCTGGGATTACAGGCTTGAGCCACCGCGCCCGGCCACCTTAAACCTTTATACCATTAAAAACAGGGCTGGGTGTGGTGGCTCACGCTTTTAATCCCAGCACTTTGGGAGGCCGAGGCAGGCGGATCACCTGAGGTTGGGAGTGCATGGCCAACCTGGCCAACATGGTGAAACCCCGTCTCTACTAAAAACACAAAATTAGCCTGGCGTGGTGGTGTGCACCTATAATCTTTTGAGAAACTCCATCTCAAAACAAAACAAAAACAAACAAAAACAAAAAACAAGACAGAATTATGAGGCTGGGCGTGGTGGTTCACACCCGTAATCCCAGCACTTGGGAGGCCCAGGTGGGCAGATCACCTGAGGTCAGGGGTTCGAGACCTGCCTGGCCAACATAGTGAAAGTCCATCTCTACTAAAAATACAAAAATTAGCCGGGTGTGGTGGCGGGTGCCTATAATCCCAGCTACTCGGGAGGCTGAGGCAGGAGAATCACTTGAACCCGGGAGGTGAAAGTTGTAGTGAGCTGAGATCACGCCACTGCACTCACTCCAGCCTGGGTGACAGAGTGAGAATCCATCAAGGAAAGGAAGGGAGAGGAGGGGAGGGGAGGGGAGGGGAAGGGAGGGGAAGGGAGGGGAAGGGAGGGGAAGGGAGGGGAAGGGAAGGGAAGAAGAAAGGGCGAGCCGGGTGCAGTGGCTCAAGCCTGTAATCCCAGCACTTTGGGAGGCCAAGACGGGCGGATCACGAGGTCAGGAGATCGAGACCATCCTGGCCAACACAGTGAAACCCTGTCTCTACTAAAAATACAAAAGATTAGCTGGGCTTGTTGGTGGGCACCTGTAGTCCCAGCTACTTGGGAGGCTGAGGCAGGAGAATGGCGTAAACCCGGGAAGCAGAGCTTGCAGTGAGCTGAGATCCGGCCACTGCACTCCAACCTGGGTGACAGAGTAAGACTCCATTGAAAGAAAAAAAGAAAGAAAGAAAGAAAGAAGGAAAGAAGGAAAGAAAGAAAGAAAAAGGAGGG